TTTAAAGTCAGTCATCTAGGGGGGGGGGGGGGGGGGGGGGGGGGGGGGGGGGGGGGGGGGGGGGGGGGGGGGGGAGGCGAGCAAGCGAAGTGGGCGGAGCTAGAGGCAAAGGCCAGAGGCAAAGGGCAGAGGCCCGGGGTGGGAGGGAAGGGCGGAGCAAGCGGAGCAAGCGGAGGGGGCGGGCATGCACTGGAGCCCTTTAAAGTCAGTCATCTAGGGGGGGTGGGTTGGGGGCGGGGGGGTGCGGGGGCGGGTGTGGCGGGTGGGGGTGGGGTGGGGGGAGTGGAACGCGGGCGGAGGCAGCGGGAGGGGCGGGCAATGCACTGACGCCCTTTAAAGTCAGTGTTAGAGGGGGGGGGGGTGGGTTTGGGGGAGGGGGGGGGGGGGTGCGGGGGCGGGTGGAATGGTTGGGAAGGGTGGTTGGTGGTGGGAGGGTTAGGGGCGGGAAGGGCGGGGCACGGACTGGGGCCTTTTAAAATCAGCTTAAGGTGCGGGGTTATGCTGACGCCATGGAGTCTTCACTAGCGCCTCCCCCGCTCAAAGCTGGGGTCGGCGGATACTATCAGTATCCCCCAAAAGCCAAACCCTAAACCCTAAACCCTAAACCCTAACCCTAAACCCTAAACCCTAAACCCTAAACCCTAAACCCTAAGCCCCTAAATGACGAAGTCCGCTCGCCACCAGAGGCCGGATCCCGGACGAGCTGGCCGACCTGTGGCCGCGGCTACGGTCATTGGCACTTTGGCATCCTAGAAGGGTTTAGGCTTTAGGCTTTAGGGTTTAGGGTTTAGGGTTTAGGGTTTAGGGTTTAGGGTTTAGGGTTTAGGGTTTTTATGGTTTGGGGTACCTGCCTAAGCCTGACAAACCCGAAAGACTTTAAGCCGTGACGGCTTTCAACCCAAAAACTGCTGTCCACTTCCTCGGATGTAGGCGCGATTCTGCTGTGTGAGTATACATGGGTTCGAACAGGATTCCCTCCTTCACTCTACTCTAGCGCTCTAAAGCGCGAAAAACCGTAGGAGTAAAGTAAGGCAATGCCAAGAAAACAAGCCATCGCATCGGGAATCGGCCATCATGGTACTCATCCTTCTGAAGCCCCTAAAACTCCCTAAGCCCTAAACCTTCAACCCTAAACCCCGATATGTTGGTACCCCCGAAGATGGTAGCGCAGGAACCAGAGTAGAACACCCAAAAACCCTATACCCTGAGCCCTATGCCCTAAGCCCTAAGCCCTAAGCCCCAAGCCCCAAGCCCTAAATGCTGTCTCGCCCCCAAGGACCTTCATGACCTGCAGCTGACCGGGCCGCTGCCAAAGGCTCTGCTGCGGCTGCAAAATCTGACGCAGCTGCAGGTCAGGATGATGAGAACCTAAGACCGACAAATGGTATTAGTTAAGAACAAACATCGCAGAAGCTCGCAATACTTGCTGGAAAGCTAAACTTAAAGTTTGTAGTGGTTTGTATCTCCTTGCCCGAAACACACGAGCGCTTGCGCGCTTGCGCGCGCTTGCGCGCGCTTGCGCGCTTCGACACACCCATTGCTACAAGGCGTTGACATCCGGGTTCCTGTCATCCCAGAATGAGCCGGAGGAAGCCACACTATATTTTATTATTCTTGTTCTTATTCTTATATTGCCAGAAGAAGTTCTCACAGCCGTGCACTACTAGTCGAAACCCCTTTAGTTCCGATGCTCCGGAGTGGAGTGAACGTAGGGACGCAGGCTCTTGTGATGTAACGTAGGGGAATTGTTTAGGAGATTCATTTCTCTGTTCAAGCCACGGGAGATTCTCGGGGCACATGAAGGTGAACCTTAAACTGCCTTAAACCCTTGACCCGTTCGAAACCCTAGGCACTAAACCGTAAGCCCTAGAAACCCTTCAGATTGGAGCCTGTTAGATGTTTCCTTGGCATGTCAGTGCACGTTTCCGGCCGGTAACCTGTGCAAATCCTCGCTACCTCGGCGAATCGCCCGAAGCCCTGAAGCCCTTAGCCCTTCAACCCTTTTTTTTGGGGGGGGGGGGGGGGGATTTACGACAACATGGATTGGAAGTATACATACATAAACATGTATATGTATCTATACATATATATATATATATACATATACATACATATACATTCCTTTTTGCTGGGGGGGGTACATTCGGGGCAGCCGTGTTTAAGGGGAAAAAAGCCGGAAGCCAACGCCCTGCAGGTCCAGCTGAATAACCTTGAATGTGGTGAGGAGGCCAGACAAGTCTGAGTCAGTTCAAGGACTCTCATAATCCGATAACATAATAACATAGTCATACAAGAATATAGTAGGAAAGCACGATAATGTGATGCAAATCTTGAAATATACAGATATGAAAAAGTTGTATCTATATGTATGTATATATGAAGAGTGAAGAGTTTAGGGCGTTGCGCTAGGGACCTTAACCGTAAAACCTCACCCTAAACTCTAAACCCTAAACCCTAAACTGCTCTTGAAGTGGGGGGCTCTCAGGGCCCTGTTGAAGGATGTCGTGGCCCAATTGGTGCGTCGCCCGAAGCTGCAGATTCTGAACCTCAATGCCAACCCAGCGTGACCTGGCTACGACCCTGAACCCAAACCCCCAAACACTAAACCATTTTGCGGGCTGGGAGTTGCTTGTCGGCCTAATTTCGTGAGGGGGCCCAACGGTTGGGAGTTTCGAGGTTCCTGGATAAAGTTTGCCGTCGATCTTGCAAGTGCTGCTTCCAAAACAACCCAACCACCCTCCGGCATCCACAAATGGGGACCTGCCCAGAACTCAGCAGTTCTTAGAGGTTGTTGCTGATGAAACCCTCGGCTCTCGACCCCAAACCCTAGGTGATGAACTTCTGACTCCATTCCTAAGAAGTATCTGGCTCAAATGGTCGGTATTGGGTTTGGCTCCTCGTACTCTGCGCACAACTTAAAGCAAAGAAAACCCAACACCTGGGCCCATTAACAGTTTGCGAAGATCACCGGCCTCCGCTTTGGGACTTCAGCCAGAACTGATAGCAGAACATCCCAGCCACCTGTTGTGGGCAAGCACTCCTAAGGTGCAGGCCTTCGAACTTGATCGCCTTATGTTGGAAGCCGAACCTCCGCTCTCTGAAGATAAAAAGCAACCAAAACCCTAAACCCTAAACCCTAAATCCTCAACTCTAAACCCTAAACCCTAAACGACAGTCGATCCTGCAACCCCTGCGCCGTGATGTGCTGCAAGGCTTTGCGGTTGTGTGCCTGGCAAGTTGCCGGCCACACACCATGTGCAGGTGGGTGAGACGAGCATAAGAGTAGGTTGTGACGAGAGAGCGGAGCTGTAGCAAAGAAGCGTCGCACGAGCGTCTCATCGTCTGGAGCCAGTATACCTTCAATAGGGATTATCGTAGTATCGGGATAATAGGACCCCCAACCCCAAGCCAGATCCAGAAGTGAAACTGGGCGATTCCCCAACCCTCTAGGGCAAGGCTAGCCTAGACCTAAACTCTAAACCCCAAACCCTAAACCCTGTGATGTTGAGGTACTCTTGGGGCTCTGTTTCTAAGACCTGAAGCCCAACAAGACCGAGGGGGCCGTATTTTCTTTGGGGCCGCTTTCCTTGTAATTCTTCTACATCTTAGGAGGACATCCTCCGTCTCCCGGGATTTTGGTTTAGATTTCAATCAACTTTCCATGGAGGTGCATGTTGCATGTTGCAGCCCCTTTGACCATTTCTGCGTGACTGTTGCGTCTGGCCAGCAAGCTTCGCCGAAGTGTGATGCGGAGGGGCATCGGAGCAGCTTTGCTCGCGTGGTGCCTCTCCACACTGCTTGCACAAGAGGTGCCGAGCTTGCGAAGCCAGACAAGCTGCGAGCTGCTGCAAGGGGTGGATGCGACTACAATGCTTTTGCGTGCTCGTGCCTACTACCGTACGGGCTTGTTTGAGCTGGCTGATGCCGACAGAGTCGCCTATGTCTTGGCGAACTTGGATGGAATTGCTGAGGCGTGTCCGGCTGTTGCGCTTCAGGCATTGCTCCTCAAGCTGGAGGAAAACATTATTGTACAACCCGGCGCGTTTGATACTTTGATGTCGCGCTATACTTTGATTTTGCACCAGGCTGTGCGAGAGCAAACAATCACGGCTCAAGACATGAGGAACTGGCCGTTGGACTACGGAGTAGAGCGAGTTCTCAACATCAGCCAGGCTTTGGCCCTTCCGCGACGCTTGACGGCTTCAGTCGTCATGAACTACTGCCAGGTGGTGGACCGCTTTGGCACAAGCCAGCTCCTCACTTGGTTGATGGATCCTCCTTTCGGGGAACCCATCGAGGGTGTGTTGGAGTCTGGTTTGCTGAGAAACACGGATCTCCACATCTTTCAGGTTGACTGGCCCTGGTGTGAACCACTTCCACAGGATGTCTTGGACCGACTGCGGGTATCTGTAAGGGAACTTCGCGTGGTGACATACCGTGGCGGTCCCCGGCGTGAGGAGCAGACAGCTTATTTCAAGTACATCCTGGATAACTGGGATAACTTGCCTGACTTCACCATCTTTGTGCATCCCGATGCCGACGAACATCAAGGCCAGAAGTTTCTGGCGCTGACCCGAGTGCTGAAGCTAATAAACACGCAGTCGCAATTTGCATATGATGCGCTGGAATATTATCCGCTCGCACAGCAGATGGTCGTCGACCCAAGAAGGACGTGGGGGAGAGAGGGTGCAGATGCCTTTGCGCCTGTTTGGCGCAGATTCTGGCGCCGTCTTTTTGGCAATTCCTGGGAGGACTTGGGCTTCGCAGAGCCGCGCTGCAAGTGGGAGAAGCACCCCGGCCACTTTCTGGCCCAACATGCGGAGGGCGACACTCGGCGATACTCTCTGCCCGACGCCAAGCTCGTTTGCGCGCATCTTGGAGACGCCTGCGGCGGGGTGACGTGCGGAACCCCGATTGAAGCCGACGAGTTCGACCTGCCGGGCCAAGACCAGTTTGTTAGAGCCACTTGCACCGTGCGACGCGGCGCGGATGGACCCTCAGCCTCCCCGGAACCTGCAGAAGTGAGCTATGTTAAGACATGCTTAGACCGAGATGCAGATGCCGAGCAAGACTCGGTATCGAAAGCGACCTATCGGGAAGCGAAAGGCACCTTCCTGCTGGGCTACGCCGCAGATGATTCCGTTTTGAGAGGTGAGGCGGAGTCGCGAAGACGCTGTGATGAACTGCGTGATGCGTGCACCGGGTACACGTGCGAGAAGAGCTTGGTTGTCACAAGAAGCATGACCAAGAAGGCTTACCAAGAAGCCCAGGCGGCCCAGGTTTGCACCGTGAGGGCGGGCTCCCAGCTCACCGGGAGCCCCACAGGAGAGGTGACGTATGTAAAGGTGGCTGCGAGCCCCAAGTTGCAGGAGGCCGTCTCCCAAGGCCCTGCCAAGCCCGAAGCCAGCGGCGTCTTCCAGTTCTACACCGGCTCGCAGTCCGTAGTCCGCAAGGAGGGGAGGGCGAAGGGAATCCGAGATGGGGTCATGTTCTGGGGCCGTGAGGCTTGCGAAGTGTAGGTCCCCTGAAACATTCGCACCCGGGTTTTGGGTCAAAGGACTTCAATGAAGTTTCCATTGTAGGGCGGTTAACAAGTTGGTAACTTTCAAGCAGGATATATGAATATATGTGTATATACACACATATACATATCTGCTATATATATGCTATATATATATACCTATATAGATATATACATGCATATGCATCAATGTGAAATTACAGAACCAGGGGCCCTCCTTGAAAAAAGATCACTCCGTAGCCTTGCGCCCCTCACGCTGCAGGACCGCCTGGGGTGGTGGCCGCGCGAGGAGATCGAGACCTTCGCCGCGGATGGCGTGTGGTGCTCGGACACCACCGGGCTGGTGGAGGCTGGTTTGAGGGTTTAGGGTTTAGGGTTTGGGGTTGGGACTTGGGAGAATTTTAGGGCTTGTTAAGTGCGCCTGAAGTTTGAAGAGCTCGTCGCGGCAGACTTTCAGGAGCAAGGCCAACAGTGCGTGCTTGTGCCTGGCACTTTTGTCGGAGGAGGCTGACAAACACTGACGCAACATGAAGGGGATCATGAGGCTTGTTATAGGGGGGTAGGTAGACATTTTGCCTTCGGATACCCTGCCACCATGCAGTCAAGCTTCATGCCAAAGTCACGAATCAGCTCAAAATCCTTCCAGATGTCTCTCAGAGACTTGTCTTCGAAGGCAGTCTGGCATCGCTTGTTCGGGGAGCCTCTGTCGCAGCATCCCCGCCAGGAGGATCCGGCACTGTGCCTCTGACATGTTAAAACCGCACTATGCCAATCCTAAATCTTCAAGCCAATCCTAAGCCTCAAATTCCTAAACATCCCTAAGCCCCTAAGCCCGGAACCCTAACCCTCTAGTCGCTCTCCAGCCGCCAGGCCTTTGTTTCTCAAGTGGGGTATTCCCACCTTCTTCTCCTACGGTGACGAGGGCGTGATCTGAGATGCTGTGCGTGTGGTTGCGGATGGTGTCATGCAGCAGGCTCAGCGCAGCTGGAGAGCAGCATTCAGTTCATTTTGTCCCATACTCCCTTCTCTTCGGAAGAACTGGGTCTGGCCAAGGTGCCCCAACGATTCAGCATGGCAGTGAAGGATGCTGGCTGCAAATGTGCGCTGCGTCTTCAGGACGACGGGACTTGCTCTCATTCGAGGCCTCAGAGAGTGTCGAGGTGCCGGTGACGTGACCGTGCGGAGATGTTGAAGTCCACGCGGCCATCGTGATGATCTGATCCGAAGGCAGTGAGCCAGTGCGGTCAGTGCAATGCTTGAGTGTGGCGCGACTTCTGGGGAAATGAGCTCACCTCCCGTAGCATGTTTCAGAGCCATGTAGTCATGATCCCGTTTTGACAGGGCCATGCAAAGGCTGCATACGGTGCAGACAATTCCCGCGAAGCGTTTTGGATCAGCAAGCACCGAACTTGTTTCTCCTTTCTCGGGGACTGGTCGACGAAGAACAGGCATGGCTGTTGCTGCATGGTAGTAGGCGTGGGAAAATAGCCTTTCATTCGGCAGCGCATGCCACACATGAGTCACATGACGCTAAGTCGCAATAGTGGGCAGACGTCAAGCTGATGTCACGAGACGCTACTTTGCAAATTTTTGCTGCTCTGGTCAGGCGAATGGCGTTGAACAGCTTTGTACAGTTGAGGGAGGCACAGGCCTGGAGTCGTTTCATGCCTGTTGCAGGGAGTTGCATCGTTTGAACGGCCTGGGGCATGCCATGGCTTGTACCTGCACATAGCCGGAGAAGTCTTTAGGCTTGATCCCCATGCGTCTGGACTACGAAACCTACAGAGTCGAATCTTCAGAACCTTCCTGAGAAAGCTAGGGACCACTTCTCTGCAAGGCTCGTCGCCCAAACCCCAAACGCCTTAACCTTCGGGCAAGCGTTTCTTTTGAGCAGTTTAAATTTAGCGTGTAGCGTTTAGCGTTTAGCGTTTAGCGTTTAGGGGTAGCGTTTAGGGTTTAGGGTTTAGGATGTACGGTTTACGGTTTAGGGTTTGGGGTTCAAGAGCGCAGCTCAGAGTAGCCAGGCACAAACCCTATGCTTTCGCCCTCCACCGGGCCTTGAGACTTTCGGCCCAGGTCAGGACCTCAGTGGGACATGATGTCAAGGTATAGGGTTTAGGGTTTAGGGTTTGGGGGGTTCTAGGGTTTCAGGAGCTTAGCTGAGTCTGGTCCTAGAATCTTGACAGGAAGTTCTCTGCTTTGGTCTTGGGTTTGGGGGGCCATGCCTTCTTGTGGAAGCGGAGGGGTGTGCCAGCTGGTTGCTGCATGTTCGACCTGTTTTTCATATTCTAAACGTCTGGATCAGATCCCCAGCCTTAAGTGCTCTCCCTGGGGCTTAGCAGGTCCTTTGCTCTCGGCACCTCCTGGGATGATGGCAAAGGCCCAGGCGTGGAGTCACAGGGTGGTTCTCCGTAGCGTTGGGCGCATGTGGCATGTCAGCTCGACCTCAGGGCCTCAGGGGTCAGGAGCCACAAAGGTATTCCCGAAGCAACGTCAGCCCTGGATGCGGTCAGGAACTCGACGCCTTCTCTGAGGCAAGCGCCGGCTCGTCTTTCTCTTGCAATGCGTGACATGGCTTCTGTGGCATGGGCATCGGATAGCTCTCACAAACCCACGGCACGGAGCCGAGTTCCGCCGTCAAGGATGTTTTGCCCCTTGAAAGCAACCACGCTGAGCACAGAAGACTCTTTTGCAAAGCCCCCCCGAATTTCAGCCTTAAGCCCATCAAGAGTCTGGAACGTCCCTCTCGGCCAGACTTCGGAGTGCAGCACAACCGTGCCGGCCTCTCCGCCCGGAGAGCTGGGCCAGGTTCTGCGAAGCTTGTAGGGCTTGTAGGGTGATGCTCGGAGTAAGGTTGAAGATGGCTTCTTGGCATCGGGCTGTTATCTTCTTCCAGTGCTTGCGTGTAGACGGACATATTTTAGCTGCACTTGGCGATGCGGAAGCCGAAGATGGAATGCGCAGGTGTTGCAGGCCTCGGCAGCGTTCATGTTCAAGGCGCAACGGGGGGGGACGTGGGTAGACAGGTTTGGATCTCCAAAGGGCTAGAGGATTTCCTGAGGAGTGCAGAAATGTGGTTGCTTGAGAGACGATCTCGACTTCAGCGCGGGTGAGTTCCTGAATGTTCCTGAACAGCTTGGCTAAGTATGAGCTGAAACCTGTAGCTGCGGCAGAACGAATTGATGCTTTCCGTGCCTGCATTTTGAGTCCATGTGCCGCCTCACATGCTCACTTGCTTGGGCACCGCTTAGCCCCATGCCAGGGGCCCCATGGACCATGCTGACAAACGCAAGATGAGCCCTTTGCTCTTATTGAGCCGCATGAGCCACGATGTGCATGTAGGTGCCAGAGGGTTCTGGGCCCCTGGTTTCTTTTAAAGGGTATCAGAAGGAGAATCATAAGTTTTCCCCCAAGAAAGGGCCCTTGCTTAAGGGGACCATGTAGCTACCTATGATGTTCCCCCTTATACGAACAGTCCCTAGTACAATCCCTATTAAGGACTGTCAGTATCAGGGGGAACATCCCTAAACCCTAAACCCTAAACCCTAAACCCTAAACCCTAAACTCCAATAAGCTACCCTAAGACATGGACATGTCCCCCCCCCACAGCTGACCGAAGCCCTGCCTTCAGCCTCCGCTTCGACTGCAGCTCGACGAGATGCTTCCAGAGGTTGAGCCCCAAACGGGGGAGGGCGGGGTTGGGGGGGGGGGGACCGTTTTTGTGGTTATGGTGGTTCTGTTGATGGTAGCTATTGGTAGTTAGGGAGTTTCGGTAGTTCTGGTAGTTATGGTAGATATGGTAGCTCATGGTAGAGAGAATTCTGGCCATCGCAGTCGTCGTCGTTCTTGCTGTTGTTGTGTTGCTGCTGTTTTTCAGTTGCTGTTGATTTTGCGGTCGTTGTGGTTGTTGTTGTCGTTGACGTCGTCATCGTCGTGGACAGCGAATTAGAGGTTGTGGTTCTGTGGGAGGCGGTCATGATGATAGATGTTCCCGCAGCTGCTTCGGGCGATTCGCTTGGGAAACTGCTAGTTTTCTAGGCCAGATTGGTTTTTGGTCCCTCAGAAGCCGTTTCAGGGCTGCGGCGAAGAGTCGGCCAGCACAGCTTCAGTCTTCAGTGAATCGGCACAACCTGCAGTTGCAAATGCGTCCCAAGTTACCGCTCCTCTCCCAGAAATGAAGCAATCCCATGCAGCTCGACAACCCACAAAAACCAAAGCCTGGGCAGGACACGTCTGCCCAGATGCCACCATGGCCCTCACTTGGTTCTGCTGCACACGGCGGGAGCACCCAAGTGCCAACCCTTAAGCCCTAAACCCTAAACCGTAGACCCTGAACCCTGAACCCTAAACCCGAATCCAGTCAATCGTTTATTCAGGATTGCCTGAACAGGGGCTTAGAATGGATGGTTGAGGGTGCAGGACTTCTCCGGTTCTTTGGATGTGCCAGTCCTACGAAGGCAACAGTCCTGTCCAGATTGCGTACCTGCAGTTGTTTGTGGTAACGTTTCTCTAAGTTTCTAGTACAGCATACGTCATACGCCTTCCCAGTTGAAAAGAATCCCTGCAACCGGCGAAGGATTGATTGCACTTTGTGAATGCACGTTGGTGTTCCTTTCTTTGTGTCTTTCAGTCCTCTGCCCACCGACTCGCGTCACAGATCGCAGAACTTCGGTGCGCTATACAAGACATGATGGCTCCCATTGTTGAGTTTGGCAGCCTGTAGAACATGCTTTCTCTATAGCATGAAGATCTTAATGTTTGTAGTGAGGCACATGGCCAAGGGCACACGTGATCATATCGGCAAGTTCTCACTCCTGAGATATCCCGAGATCGTGCTTACTCCTCGAGGATCAACGGGGTGCTTGGGGTACTGCATGTGTTTCGCCCTGGAAATCATGTGCTTGATCCGAATTCTGGGCCCTCTTTCTGCCCTAGACTGTAAGAAACATACACTAGCAAGTGAGATCCCCATAAGGGCCCGCTCGCGTGTACAGTTGTCTGGCATGGTCGCTCTGCTTGAAGGAGGTAGTGCATGTGCAGTATATGTATACTAGACAACATTTGTATGTATATTCTGTAGAACAATACATGGTTACATAGCATGTGCCTTCTTGTCGGCTGCTTCCTGCCCCCAACGCCCAAACCCCAAGCGTCCTTCCGAAGTCAGGTTTCTAGCCGCATCCAGGTCTAGGTTGTCGCATGCTGCGGGTCGAATCCTCCATGTCCCCCTGTTGCGGAAGCGATTCCTTCTGAGGCCTTGGTCTCTGCAAGCCCTGTGACTTCGAACATCGCACAAAATGCAGGTTCGGAGGGGCTCGTCTCACTGGCCCCATCCTCCTGGCGTGCATCCTGCATGAGTCATTTCCCATCCAAGATCGTCGCAGATCTTGCACGAGTGAGCCCCTCAATATTTTGCCCTGCGAGCCTGATACCCCATTGCCAGGTCTGGCTACAAGTGCCAATTCTGCCACCTCTGCCCGCACCCCTGAATTTTTCCAGTTTCCTGTCTCTAAGTGGATGCAGCAGTCTCAGCCTGATCTGCCCGGCAGCCTGATCCGCAGCCTGCATCAGCCCTCCACCCACACGAGTTCTCAGGCCCGCCCGGGGAGAACCGACGCCGGAAGAAGCAGAAGCAGGCGGGAATCGGAATCTTGCCTGCCTTCGACTCTGAACCCCCTAAACCTGACCCTGATAAACTTAAGAGAACTCTGAACTCCCTAAGAGAGCCAGAACGCAACCCTCTGACACTTTCAAGTCCCCTTCATATGTTGAGGCCCCTGAGCCCTGATACCCCGAATACAGGCCCCAATAGGGCCCCTGAGAGGCTGCTGCCAAGCTCCGCCAGCGAATGGAGGCGAAGGGGCTACAGGCCTCCATCCTGTGGGTTGGGGGTTTCGAAACTCGGGGCACCTTGTTTGGGGGTGCAAAGGGTCT